ATTCGTGCGATCTGCGCCGTAGCCACCGCCCGCAATATGGCCCTCGAACAAGCGGACGCCGTCAACGCCTACATTCAAGCCAAGTTAACCACGCCAATATTGGCCGTCGAACCTGAAGGGCACGAAACGCAACCGGGCATGGCCGCCTTCGTCACCATGGCGCTTTATGGACTCAACCAGAGCGGCCACGAGTTCGAGAAGCACTGCAAGGCACAAATCGCCGCCCTCGGTTGGCAACGAAGCCCCCACGACCCATGCGTGTTCACCCGAGGCCAAGGCGACGAACTTGAAATCCTCGGCACGTATGTCGATGATTTCATAGTCCACCGCCCCAACCCAGGCCAACAAGGACGCAGCCGTGGAAGAGCTTGCGAACAAGATCGAGTTGAAACGCCAAGGTCCCGTCCAATACCTGCTCGGAATCCGCATCAATCGCCACCATCAAATCAAGGGAGACTGCTTACCATGTGCCAAGCCGCATACGCCACGAAGGTCTCGAACGCTTCGGTATGGCCAACTGCCATCCCGTCACCACCCCTGAAGTCACCGACCAGGAAGAACTATGGCACGATGAGCAACAGCCAACTGTGGACCAAGGGGAGTACCGCGCCATGGTCGGTTCACTCACCACAGTTAGGGGAGTGTCGAAGGTTGCCGCGTTCGAAGTCCAAGCAACCGGATCCGGACACAAAGAACTGGGTGACGAAAGGTCATGGCGGGGATTGTGTTTGCATAGTTGCATTGATGATGAACACCAATGGCCGAATAGCGGCGTTGAAGGGCGAGTTGCAAGCTCGTCATGCATGCGCAAGTAAGAGAAGAACTGGATGTAGCAAAACAAGTCTATTAAAGGATCAATTCACTTGTCGATATCCCTTCTTGGTCTTAAGTCGCCGGCTAACCGCCTGCTGCCTTTGTCTTCCTCGACCGACGACCTTACTACAAAACACGTCAGTTCAAGAACGGCACCCATGACATGGGGGCTGCCAACGATGTCGCGGAGATACGTTGAAGGTCGAGTGGCCTGTAGTACACGGCGAACGGACCAGGAACCAGGAACTGACACATCCGGCTTGACGCGCTTGTCACGGGCCTTGGCGGCTGAGAGATTCCAATGCATTATCATCCGACACCGATTACGCTCTCGAAGTCACCAGGGGCACAGTTGGGACCGGCTTTGTCATTGACGAAGTCGGGGATGCCGGCCTTTGCTACGCATCATTTTGCTCTTGGTACCCGTTGTTGCCGGCAGCAGTGCTGCGATGGGGAGGACAACTCGCACTTGGGGTAGTTTTTAGCGCTGAGCGTCGGTAAGGCACAACATCGATTGGGGACAGCTAGTCATGGCCACTTCTCGGCACGTGTTAGTAGTGCAGCTGACGTAGGCAATTCAGATGGCACTGTGAGCTGCACTGTTGTAAAGAGAACATTTCAAGGAAAATGCGTCAACAACGTTCAACTGGTCCGACTTGGACCGTGTGCGATCACGATGTTTGGAAAAGGGTGAGGGCGACCTGAGGGACCTAAGAAAGGACTGACGAGACATTAGAAAGGTTTCATAATAGTCCTTTCGTTTCCTGTTTCGCTTGCCGCTGCATCTTTCAAGAAACTCTTAGAAAACCATTGAGGAAACCGACGAAACTGATTGTCATCCTTTTCCCACGGCCCTCGGAAAGGAATTAGTTCATTCCGAATTCGGCAAGTGATGACAACACCAGTAAAGCGCCGCGTCTTCACCGAGCGCGAAGTCGTCCTGTTACTCACCCAAATAAGTGCAGAAATGCCATCCTTGGCCCGCAGGGGCAAAATCATGGACGTTTGGGACTCAGTCGCACGCAATTTGGCCACCACAGGCGAGTTTGACCGCCCGCAATTCGAGCAAGCCAGATTTCTTATCCTCTGACGGGGCCATCGTGAGAGAAACAACGCTTCGCAATGAGCCTCGTGTGCTGCCGAGAATGTCACCGAAAAGACCATCTTGTTAGTCGATCTTTGCAACCATGTCGACGAGCCAAGCGAGAAGGAAGCAACCGTCTGACGCAAGAATACGAAGAAGCCTCACAAGTCGAAGAAAATGGGGCCTTCATGCGCGAAGAAGCGATGAAGTCGCAAGGAAACCGAAAGATGAAGGATGAAGACGACTCCGGCGCGGTGGCGTCAAAATGTTGAAGGTTCTTTCGTTGATGAACGAATGCAGCAAGCGTGAACTGGAACTTCGCAAAATTATGTTTGAGAAGGACGTCGAGGAGAGGAAGTTGGCGAGGACAAGAAACGCGGCAAGGATCGTGAGGTTCAGCAACTACAAGTTCAAGTATTGCCATGTACATTGACTACTCTATTGACTGCCCTTGTTAACGAAATGCCTGCACACACAATACCAGTAGCAACTACATGTATACCAGTAGTAATGATTTCAACATATCTGTGCAGTACATAATTCTCAATTTACAGATCAACAACGTCTACAGTGTCAAGATACTCTTCAAGTGTTGGTGGCAGTAGATCGAAGTACATGCTAATTTGATTTCCACGAAAGTGGCAACAATGACAATTCGTCAACAACATTGCCACACAGACGGCTTTGCCACCGGAGATTGCATGAGTTTTGACATGTTCTTGTACGAAATATGCGGCCAGAGGGACTTCATAATTTTGAAATTTCGCTCTACAGCTTGCCGCTCACTGCTCCTCGATTTGTTAAAAGCTTGCTTGCTACTCTCGCGACAAGTTGTTTCCACGATAGCCACTCAAAACATACTTCGTCACTCCATAAGCGGGGTCCCCATAAATGAACTTTTTGGAAATGATATCGTGGTGTTGGGCAAATGACTGCTGTAAGCCACTCAATGCCAGCATAGCTGAATCATGGCGACCGTCCTTCTACTAGCCTCAAAAGTGAACGCAAATGCCATCCGGTGCAGCCACGGCCTGAAAATTTAGGCAGTGGTATCGTTTATACCCTAGTAGCTGATATTCGATTCGTGTGAACTTTGGTTCCATCCATGAATCCAAAAACGCATTCCAGTGGAGATCCTTTGGCAGCAACAGCATTGCAGTAGGTGTATATGCGGGTCCGTAGCTATTTTTGGTTCAAAAACAAGGTTTGGTTCCACCGGTCGTAAATGTATGCACGAGGTGCGAGAAGATATCACACAAACGTGCCCGGGAACGTCCAAACATTCGTGATATGTCGTCGTAGTGCCGTGGAAATGTCAGTCGACTCAGAAGCACACACATAGCTTCGTCGCGACATAAAAGTGTGTATTCTTTGTGATGATAACAACAGGC